TATCAAGACTTGCCTTGGATGTTTTCGCTGTCCTGTCTCAACCGTCTCATCCGAACAAACATTAGTGCAAGTGGAAGGATTTTAAAGAAAGGAGGACTAAAACTGCCTCCAAAAATGATGAAGTCCTCACATGTCTCGAGATTGGGAACGATCGCGCCATCAAGATCAATACGAGGTTATCGACAAGCTTTAGTAGAATATTCAATTTTGTAATATAGATGATACAAATGAGGGAGGTCCTAGTGAACCACCCCAATTTAGTTGTTTTGTAAAATGTAATTTGTAAATAATTGTCAATTATGCACTCTTTTTCTTTACCAAGTTTTTCTCTCATTGGGTTTTCTTGTGAGGTTTTTAACGAGGCAATAATTGTTGTAATTTCTTATTTTATTTTTGATAAATGAATAAGTCTAATTTTTCTTATATTACAATTTATTGTATTAAAATTGAATTAATATTTGAAAGTTTAACAAAAAAAAAATTGAATTGAATTGAATTATTGATATTTGAAAAGTTAACTAAAAACAATTATATTTATAATTATTTATTTGAAAAGATAAATTAAAAAAAAAAAAAAACACAAAAAAAAAAAAATCGGGCTAACCCGACCCGGACCGTGCCAACCCGGCAGGTTAGGGCTGGCGGCCCGGGCTGGGCCAGCCACTTTCCCAAATGACGGGCCTAACCCGGCCCGCCTTTGTTGGCGGGCGGTATTAGCCAGCCCGCCAAAACATGTAACCCGCCGCGGGCCGGGTCGGGCCGGGCGGGCCGGGCGGGTTACTTTTCCACCTTTAATCGCCGCTGGTTGAGAAGGTTGTCATGTGACATCAAGGGAAAGAGAGGAAGTCTTGAAAGCAACGTTCTTGAATGGGTTAAACCAGAGATTCGAGCTGAAATCAAAATCCAGCAACCTAATTTCCTAACCTAGCCCAATTCACTGACCCAAGTGACAAACTAGCCGAAGAGTGGAAAGAGAGGAATCAGGCTATTGAAGAGGCTAGGCATGGGCCAGGCCGACAGAGTAATGGGCCACTCCAAAGTTGGGCCATGAGCTTAATCATATACCTAACTCGACCTGCCGACGCTAAACCAAGCCCAACCCAGTCAAATCAACCTGATCACATCTCCAAAACTACCCAACACCAGTCAAACCAAAAATGAAACCCAACTCAGCCCTAACTGTCATCCTTTTTCAACTTCTAGCCAAGCATTTTCGGTGAGACTACCCTCTAAGAAGATGATAGAAAGTAAGATCCAAGGAAAAGGAAGAAGGGGTTATGTTTTCCATGTGACGCCAAATATTGCCAAGCCACCAATGTAGACTGCATTTTAAATGGCCAATTCCAAAAGATGTCAAGGCGCTTCGTGGTTTTCTGGGTTTGATTGGGTATTATAGAAAGTTTGTAAATGGGTATGGCAAGATTGCATCACCCTTGACCAATCTTTCTGCAAGGATGCCTTCATGTGGACAGAATCATCTTAGAAAGCATTTGAGGAACTAACGAGTCATGAAAATGGTACCTATCTTAGCATGCTCAATTTCTTTAAGACAGTATCATTGAGACAGACACATCGAGGTAGGGAATCAGAGATGTTCTAATGCAAGAGGGTAGACCGCTAGCATTCTTAGTCAAGGACTCTCTACACAATCTCAGGTAAGGCCAGTCTATGAAAGAGAATTGATGGCCATCGTTTTAGCTATCCAATGTGGTGACACTATTTATTGGGTAGGCACTTCATCATTAGGACTGATCAACGCAGCTTACACTGTTTGAATGAGCAGAGGTTGTAAGGGGAAGAACAATAGAAATTGATTATCAAGTTGCTGGTTTGGATTATGAAATACAGTATAAACCAGGGTTAGAAAACAAAGCAGCAGATGCCTTGTCTAGACGAGATGAAACAACGGAGTACAATGCCTATCCATATGCTATTTTGCCAAAAAAGATGAGTAGGAAGAGCCTATTTGACAAGATGTCAAGTTGAAGAGATCTACCAAGATTTAATCACGGATCCTCACAATCATCCACATTTCAGGTTAGTCGGCCATCAAATTTACTATGATGATCATTTGGTCTACCTAAGTCTAGTTCACAAGTTCGCAAATTCTACGGGAATTTCATTCCTCTCCTTTAGGGGGTCACTCTAGTTTTTTTGGGACCTACAAAAGACTAACACTATTGTTTATTGGGAAGGGATGAAACAAGACATTCAAGCATTTGTGAAGCTTGCCCAACCTGCCAACAAAATAAATATGAGGCCCACACAACCTGCCAGACTACTACAATGCCTATCCTATCTAAAGTCTGGGAAGATATTTCAAAGGACTTCATAATCGGCCTTCCAAAAGCACATCAGGTAGAACTATCTTAGTGGTGGTTGATCATCTCACAAAATACCTTCATCCTCTAAGCACCTCCTATAAAACCCAGTGCTTGGAAATCCAAATTGTTGAGTTGTTGTAGGCTCTTGATTAGAAAATGGATTCTTATCACCACCACCTTGCGGGCTCGTGTTGACTCCCTTGAAATTGCTCTTAAAGAAACCAGGGCTGAGCTTCTGAGTAAACGTTCTTCAAGTGGTTCCAAGGATGCCCTGATACCTTGTTCTGTTGAGGCTCAAACTGATCTGAATGCAAACTTGTCGACGCAAATTTGTCCCTAGGATCCAAATCCAGTCATTCCTGAAGACATTCTAGAAATTAATGAAGAAGACGCTGTGGATGAACCTGATTATGGAATTGCAGTGAGGAAAGGGCAAAAGGAACCTCTGCTTCTATGCCTGTTCCTAAAATTGATTCCTCCAATAGGGAGAAAGAATCTGAGATGTGGACCCTTTATTGTCTCTCAAACTGAAGAAAATGCTCATGATGTGGAAACCTTGCTCCATGTCCACTTTTGTAGTGTGATCCTCCTTCAGCTCCTGTAACTGTCAAGACTTGTGTTAAATCTGTTGGTAGGAAGCCCTCTACCAGAAGATCTTCTAGATCAAAAGTTGATCACTTTGATCAAAGAGGGGAGACGCTATTGATTGTTGTGTTGGCCAAGACCAAGAAGACCCGGACGACAATACTTTATTTTTTGAATTGTTTTATACTGTGTGTCTTTTGTTTTTCTATTGACTATCTTTTATTGTGATCACTGTTGTTAATTTCTATGTGATCACACACAAGTGTTTTTTTTTTTTTTTTTTTTTTTTTTTTTAATGCAGAACTCTATAGAACCTTTATGGATGTTTCTTGTGAATTTTTTTTTTTTTGGTTGCTTCTTTTTATGCTATGTTGCTAATGTTCAGTTGATTCTCTACATGAGTTATGTTTTATTGCATCCCTCCCTTGCTGTGCAGATTCTCTTGAATGTCATGTTGATCTGCCTCATTTGGAAATCTTGGTAAATTCTTTCTTGACTTATGTTTTGCTTAGGGGGAGTTTATTAATGAGCGGGAGTAGGTTTGTTCTTAAATTTTTTCCAATCTTATCTTGAAAAATGTTTTTCTTTTGCTGTCTAAGAATTGTGATTTGATCATAAGTGACAAGGGGGAGATTGTTAGTGTTTTTGTCACCTTATGATCCTGTTTTGAGTCTTGCACTATTTTTTCCTTCTGCCATTGTGGGCACACTTGCTAAAGTTTAACACTTTCACAAGTGTGAGCACTTTAGCATATGTGTGCTCACAATGCTTCTGGCAGATATTCCCTTAATCCACTTCACGCACTTGTTTTACATTTTGGACAATATTATTCCTTATTGATATTCTGTTTTGTTCTTTTACACCTTGTCCACTTTTTATTGCTGTGTGAGAAAATGAATATTGCTTTTGTCTGTGGTCCCAAATTTCTTGTGCAAAAAGAAAAACACAAAAGTTAATATTAACTTTTTTGTCCCCCAACCCTTGATGCACTGATCTCTTTATATCACTCATTTTTGGCTTTTTTTCAAGGAATATGATCACATTTGTTTTCCTCTCTAAATATTCTCTGAGGTTCTCATTTTGGTTAAGGTTTCTTACTAGCTTTGGTAGGCTTAGAATTACCTTTTTCACTTGTCCTGTGTGAGATCTTTGGATGTTGTTCCACTGTGACAGAGAGCTTATGTGTAAGCTGCTGTCCTGTCTTCATTGTTGAATCTGAGAGGAGCTCTCTTCAACATGATGTTGCTATGTTCGTGAAGCTTGCTGTGAGGACTTCAAGTTCAACCAAAGAAGATATCTTTGTTGTGTAGAAAACATGAGTGTTTTACAACTTTGGTTATTTGCTTTGTATTTGAACTCATAAGTATTTCATAGTGAATTTGCTTCTCGGACGCGGTCCCATGGATGTAGGCTTGATGCTGAACCATGTAAAAATGAGCGCGTTCTTTGCTTGTTTGATGTGTTTTAATTAAGTTTTTCACAACTCATTTGCATTAAAAATTGAACAAGAAACTCATTCCACATAAATTTGAAACACTTGGTAATACCTTAAAACTTTCAGATTATAATTCCCTTTGATTCCTTCATTGTTGAAGATCCTTTGGGAGGTGTTATTGAATATTAAGAACTTCAAATTTAAACAACATCTTCCTTTCAACGATCACATGAAGTCATAATGTCTTGTATTCGAATCTTATAAAGTGGTCATTTATATATTTGTAATTACTTGTTTATTAGATTTGGAGAATGTTTAATGAAAGCTATGAATTAATTAAGGTGGGTGCAAGAACCTCGGTTATAAAAAAAAATAAACCTGTCCAAATTAAATAATCAACTACTTAGTGAAATAATTTGCTTGCATGGTAACAGAACAATATAACCATTTACATAAGAGTATACGTATAAAATATCCATTGTCACCATCAAACACTATACCAAACTTGTCACGACTCATCATCATCCTCTCGTCACCATTCTACTTTACTTTTCTTGTTTGGCTTCATATATATATATATATATATATATATATATATATATATATATATATATATATATATATATATAATATCAAAGTCCCTTTTTTATGTCCTTCTTTCCAGTGTTCAAGACTCATATTTACACAATCCTCTTGCTTCTCAATTAGTCTTTGAAGATGACGGAAGTGGTTGAAGATATTGTGATTGTGGGAGCTGGAATTGCAGGCCTCACTACATCTTAGGACTTCACAGGTAAGTACCAGTACAAGTGTGCAGTTTATATAGGTAAATGAATATCTCTGTATATATTTGACAAGTTCTTTATTGCAGGCTGGGGATCAGGAGCTTAGTATGGAATCATCAGAGAGTTTGAAGGTCTCAGGATCTGCAATTTTATTATGGACTAATGCTTGGAAGGCTTTGGATGCTGTTGGGATTGCTGACTCTCCTCGCCAACAGCATGAAATCATTGAAAGGTATCTTAATTATTATACCTCACCCTGCTTACTAATACTGCTAAATGCATGTATACTATGGTAAATATCACTACAAAAAAAAAAAATTGTTTCTTATGTGATGAACTTATTTTACTAGAAAACAAAAAATACGTTTTCGTGCTTTGATCTCATCAAAATTTCGAATTTAGTGGTTTTAAATATTTGTAACGTTGTTCTCTTCATTCTTCATTAATGTATAATTCCCTTGTAACATTTCTTTTTGAGATTTTGGTTTTTAATGTTTGTAATATAAGTAAAGTAAGTAAGCTATGATGATTTATTCTTATGAAGAAGCAGAATAGTTTGAAAATTGCATTCTTCTTAAAATATAAGCCAATTCCTCCAGCTGGGACGAAATAATAAGTCACCATTATGGCAGTTTCTATATTTGGATCTTGGTGTGGCAGTAGTACTTCTTTAATAATAGAACATTTTGCTGGTTTAATAATTTCTCACATATTTCTATATAGCTAACAATAATTATTGTAGAAACAATTGAGATTTGCTAAGAAATATATATGTTTGCTTGAAAATGTTCACCTGAAGATCATCTGAGCAGGATAGCAGTTGCCTTACAATACCAGGGGAAGCCCCTTCAGAGAAATCAAAAGACCAAAGGAAAAAGTATTATGAATATTAAGATTTATGCTCTCTCTCTCCTCTCTGTGGGTAGGTATTGACAATGGAGGGATATATATGATGTTTAGTGGAGATCATGAAGCAGATGTGTGAAAAGGAAGTTATTGTTGGAAGCACTTGAAACAGAACTACCAAGTGGCACCATTAGGTACTCCGAAGGTGGTTTCTATTGAGGAATCAGGCTGCTTTAGCTGGTGCATCTAGCTGATGGAACTATCCTAAAGACTAAGGTAAAATTGAGTTAACTCCTTGTGTTTTCAAATATAGAAAACTCAATAGTGTAATTGTTAGGAAATAGTTGTATTGTGGCCTAATCATCTCATGAATGCATTCATAAATCTCAAAAGCGTGGTTAAGTCTCTGTGCTACTAGCCTAAATTTTATAGAATTCTGTTAGTTGATTCTCATCATTAACTTTATAATTGTATTGGCTTGTGAATGAAAGGTGGAATTGGGTGTGGGAGTGAAACTCAGTGGTGGTGAAAGGCTTGGCTTCAAGAAGCCAGTGTTTTCAGGAAGATCTGGCATGAGAGGCTGTGCTGATTACAAGGGCAGTCATGGCTTTGAGCCCAAATCCTGCGTTTTCGGGAAAGGCATTCGATGTGTTTCCACCCTTGTGATGATCAGACTGTTTATTGGTTTCTCATTGGACTCCTCCAGCCAAGGCAATTAATGATCCCTTCATTTCAAATAAAGCATTGTGTTTAGATGGCCTAATGAAAATTACCTGATAATATTAGGACATTAAGCCTACAATAAAATGGAAGGACTGTAGATTTGGTATAAACAATCATGCCATCCTTAAACCTTTTTCAATGAAAAGTTTTTTTGAAATTCAGAACTGCATTAAGTTAGCATTTCCTCACATTTTTCATTCCTGAAATTTCATTACTTGTAGATGGTGAGCTAGAGGACAACCCAGCAAAGATGAAGCAATTTGTGCTGAGTAATGGTCATGTACCTGATCAATTAAAGGCTGTTGTACAAGACACTCCAAAGACAGTATCGTTGCAAAAACCACTAAGATACAGACAGCCATGGGAAGTGCTGTGGGGAAATATTAGCAAAGGTGGTGTTTGTGTAGCTGGAGATGCCCTCCATCCAATGACACCAGACATTGGCCAAGGTGGCTGTCATCTTTGGAAGACGGTGTTGTTTTAGAGGTGTATTGCTGAAGCCTTAGCTGAAAAAACAAGTGGATAGACTAAAAGAGAGAACCGGTGAAGATGAGGAGAAATTTAAGAAGATTGAAATGGGATTGAAAAGATATGCAAAAGAGAGGAGATGGAGAAGTTTTGAGCTATCAGCACGGCTTATGTGGGTGGTTTTGATACAACAAAGTGAGGGTGATAGTGAACTTCGTCAGAGAGAAAATTTTTTTTCTAGCTGGGTTATTGAAGAAGAGGGTGATTTCAATTGTGGAAAGCTCATCATTTCTTGAATGCAAAGCTTCTAATCATGGTACAGGAGAAAAAAAGAAGCTGCTTCTAATAAAGAGATTGCAATCAATATTTATCTGTGAATGTACATTTAAATAAAAGATGTAAAGCATATCTTTCATTTAGAACGTAATAAAATGTATAATATATTTTGTTTGTAGAACAAATAGAAAAAAAAAATTTATATATCATTGTAAGTTAATACAAAGTTCAATAGCATGATTTGTTTAAATCAAGAAAATCACCTCAAACCGAAAAAAACCTAAGGTGGATTTACATTTTTAACCTTTAAGTGGAACAATTTTCGAAATCATAAAGGTGGTTTGAATAGGAAAGATTGATAATTGACATAAGTTTGCAATTTTGAAAACCTTAAAGGTTGTTTGTGAAATTTGTCAAAACATTTCTCTTTAATGCATTTGCCTTTTGCAATGACCTACTTCGGAAAAAAACGACCCACAAAAACACTCTTCAATTTTACATGGCTTTGAGATTCAGATCCCCATTCGTTCGTCTTCAATCTCTCAAAAACCATCTTCGAAAGTTAATGTTTTATTTTGTTAGCTCACTTACCAAACCTCACATCTTCAAGCTCCAAAAATGAAGTTCGTTATCTTTCAAAAACCCCTTGAACGATCCTCACTTGCTAAATTCCTCGAAGAAAATTGTCGATCAGGTAGCTTTACTCTGAATGAAGCATTGTATTTTTTTATTACCATGATTAATTCGAAACCCCTTTCTCCAATTTCATCATTCACTACTCTGTTTAGTGCACTAGCTAAGAAAAAGCATTATATGAAGTTATTTCGCTATATAAGCTGTTGAATTCAAATGGGTTGTCTCCCGATTTAATGTCTTTGAATATTTTGACAATTGCTTCTGTAATATTGGAAGGGTTTCTGATGGTTATGCGGTTTTTGGGGCCATTTTGAAGTTGGGTTTTAGCCCAATACCGTGACTTTAATTGTTTGATTAAAGGTCTGTGTGTAGAGGAAGGATTATGGAATCAATGGAATTGTTTAAGCAAATGGTTGCTGTTGGTTGTAGGGCTAAGTGATCACTTGCAACACTTTGATGTGTGGATTGTGTAAACAGGGAAAATAAGTGTTGCCATTAAGTTTCATGAAGTGGTGGTTAATGGAATAAAGAATTTGGTGTTATTTGTAGGCCAAATGTTGTTAATTTAATACTATAATTGATGGTCTTTGTAAGGCTGGATTGGTTGAGAAGGCTAGACAACCATTGGAATATATGATTCAGAGAGGTGTGGTTCCTAACATTCGTACTTACAGCATTTTGATAAACGGTTGTTGCTTGGCAGATAGAATCGGTGATGCAAGGGAGTTTTGATTCTATAACTAGAAAGGGTATAGGCCTAATGTTGTTTGCTACAATACTTTAATCAATCGGTATTGCAAGAATAAAGAAGTCAATGAAGCTCTTAGTCTTTATCGAGAGATGATTTCAAAAGGAATTAGGCCTTCAGTGATTACATATAGCACCTTTAATTGGCTTTTTTCTTATAGCTAAGGGGAAAGATGCACGGAATTTAGTCGGTGAGATGCGACGTAACGATGTTTCCTGATTTGTGACATAAACATTTTCATTAATGGACTTTGCAAGAACGGAGTGTTTTGGAAGCATTGGAAATGTTTAATGCTCTAGTACATATAAGTTGCAGTTAGCATTGTAGGTTTGAATTCCCTCATGATGGATTATGTAAAACAGGGAGATCGAAACTGCTTGGGACCTATTTCAAAAATTTTTCTCATGGAAACTGGTGCCAGACGTTGTAACATATAACTTGATCAATGGGCTGTGTAAAAATGGACAACTAGAAATGGCAAATGAGTTGTTGTCATATATGGAGGAAAAAGGTTGTGCTCCAGATGTAGTCACATTTGCTAGTTATGTTTGGTTTCTCAAGAATAATGGATACCAAAGTTGTTGAACTCCTCATAAGATGGTGGAGAGAAATGTGAAGCCGACTGAATGTACAATGTCCTTAGTCATGCAGTATTTAATGAAGTCCGAAAATTAGTGAATGTTGAACGAGCTTCTCCGATTCCATTCCAAAAGCGAAATTGAAGTTTACGTGATAAAATTAGCGAGTATTAACTTTTTTTGGGGCAGAATCCTGCAATAGTTCATCCAGCTGCCCAAATGCTCTATATTGGTTACGGTAAGCAGAAGGTTCAGTAAACACTTTTACCTGTTCGAATTTGATGGGATGGTGGGGGATGATTGAGAGTATAGCTTCCTGATAGACATACAAGACGATGATGTGCTCAGTACATTGATAGGTAGCGCATGCAGTGCGTGGGATTTGCACATGAAGTAGATCTTACGGGTTTGAGGATTATTTTTGGTGTAAATTCAGTAAGCAAAAGTTGTATATGAGGAATTGTGGAATGGTTCTTACTCAACTACGACAAATGGTAGCGCTCAAGTTCATCTATTCAAGCTAATCAGTTTACTAGACAATGGTACGTTGCACATGATAAATTCATCATGATATTCTCAATTATCTCAGGCATGATATATCTTGATAAGATCTAAAAACTACAGGCGTGTCCTAAGTAGCAGGCGACGGCCAATGTGCTCTTTCAGCGATGTTGATGAACAAAGCAAAAAGACATTAGAGAAGGTTTTCCACTAGAATATCTTAAAGAATATGGTGCACAACAAGGGCCGATCAATGGGATTACCTGTTGGAACTGTTAAATGACAACATTGCAGTCAAGAAAAATATGGTCTGGTGTTCATGTGCAGTTGCTGTAACAATGATCGTGGAGATTTGGTCGATATGGGATTTCAAATTGCCATTGAAATATGAAGCAACATGGTCTGAAAATGTACTCGTGTAAGAACCCCTAAGTTTGTTTAAAGTTGTTATCTTATAGCTTAGTTAATAGGCTGTTAACTAAGGTATGAGTTTGTGGTTTAGATCTAAATCTATCTCAAATCTGGATAGATTTCATTCATCATCTGTTTTGTCAGTTCATTTATTTTTTTTTGGTGATGTACCGTTTAACCATTTTCTAGTAGATTCTTGATGTTGTGAAATGTTGGACAAAACTTCGGTAGTTATAATGTCTAGTAGATAATATTTTTGCTCTTAGGTAATGGAGGGGGAGAAGAATAACATAGATAGATAAATAGGATTCTATATAGGGTGATAGAGAGAAATTAATAGGTTAAGGGAGAAATCAAGAAAGGGATACCTAGGACTCAAATACTCGATCCTAAAATGTAGAAGATAAGGACTAAACCCATTTGCATCCTTCTTTACGTCCTGCATCGCAGGTTACTGCCTTTAGGATAAAATTCTGCCAACCATAATTAAAAACTTACATTCTGCATAATTTACACTGAAAAATATCTGCTCCAGAACTATTTGTTCTGATAATTGACTGACTCATTGCCGCTTTCTGCGTAGTTATTCTTTCTAAACTCTTAAAGCTTGGACCACCATTGATTGTTTTAGAGCGCTAAATTACATGCATTCATTGGCCGTATGGGCAATGGACTCTTACAAGGCCAACAATAAATGAAGAATGTCTATATAGATATCATGCAGGATTCTGCAAAGTTGCTCACCCTTCTAAAGGTATCGGATAAGAAAACACTTAAAAGGTATTTTACGGTCACTCTTGTAACACTTGCAAGAAGATGTTTCCATAATTGATTGGTTCTTGTGACTTATACTATCATGCAATTTTATGTACAGTAATGAGTTGTATTTTAAAAGAAAACATTTGAAATGCTTGTGTAAATTTTATGTTTCAACTATTAGTCATCCGATTCTTGTAACTATTTTCAGAGTTTAGTTTTGATGGGTCCATTTTGAAATTTTGCAAGAAATAAAGGTCATAACAGAGATTTCAACGTTTATGGAACTAGGAAGCACATTCAAACAAAAGTTCTTTATTAAGATGGGTGTATGTTTGACTGTTTAATCACTTGATATGTGCTGATCATATCTGTTAATGTATCTTAACATTCATGATCAGTTCAGTATCAGGTATTGGTTTTACTGTATCAGATTAATTTTCTTTATACAATATAGAACAATTATTAGTTCATGATACAGTATTAGTTTAATATAATAAATGACTATAAAGTAAACAATTAATATAATAATTTCAGTACTTGATACTAGACATTAAAAATACAGAATCAGAGAAAATATATAATATATCTCTAGTTTATTAATATCAGTTATAAGAGATAATTGTACCATAATTACAGATACATATTTTCATAAAAGTATGAGTAAAGAAAAAATGTTTTACAAAATCATCTATATTGAGTATTTTAGGTCAACATAAAATCATGCTGAATAGTGATTTTCGCTCGAGGTTGGGTCCACGCGACGGCTTCATTTGCATGTCATGCCATATGTAAGATGTATACTACATGAGGGTTATCAATCATAGACTTATTATATGCATATTTCCATATGAATTTATGATATACACTATTTTGTTTTCTGAAAAAGGATTTGTTAATAAAGAGTTTTCTTTTAAAGAAAAATATGAAATAGTATAATAAAATGAATAATTATAACATAAAAGAAAATCTATTTACCTTTTGTCTTGTTTCTATTTTGTTTATTATATTGTCAAGGAAAATAAGTCCTGATTAATAAATATATATTAATTTTTTTAAATATAGACAATTTGTGGTTTATAACCTGTCACCTTCAAGGTGCAGACTGGGCTGGTTCTAGGAGTTGTACTGAGACAACAAGGTTGCAATGGGATAGAAACAAGTTGAAAAAGATAGACATTTCATCAAAGAGAAGATAGAAGTTAAGCTGTTGTGTGTTACCTACTTGCCTACAAGTCAGCAGACAAAATATATTCTTAAAAAGGATTGCCTAAACAGCTTTGATAATCTAGTTTCCAAGCTGGGAATGATAATATCTTTACT